AAACAAAATGACTCCCACAGAAATAGTCATGCAAAGCATCCAAAGAGCATTACACTAGAACTGTTCCATACATGTCCCAGCAGGATACTTGGACAAATACCACTCCACACCACCCAAAGTGAAGCAGGAAAGCACTCTCCTTGTCAGTGGCACCACCCAGCTCAGCCACACACAGCTCATGCAAGGCCATGGGGGCCTTGACATCACCAGTGCCACAGGAGAGGGAAAAATGCAGACAAGTCTCAGAGCTGGTGGCCAGGGGAAAATCAAGCTCCCAGCCCTTGGGATGTTACAGAATCACAGGATGGCCAAGGTTGGAAGGGACCTCAAGGATCATGAATCTCCAACCCCGCTGCCACATGCAGGGCCACCAACTTCCACATTTAATACTAGACCAGGCTGCCCTGGGCCCCATCCAACCTGCCTCCAGGGACGGGGCATCCACAACCTCTCTGGGCAGCCTGTTTCAGCACCTCACCACTCTCTCTGTAAAGAACTTCCCCCCGACATCCAACCTAAATCTTCCCTCCCTCAACTTACAACCATTTCCCCTTGTCCTGCTGTTATCTGCCCTTTCAAAGGGTTGATTCCCTTCCTGTTTGTAGGCTCCCTTTAGATACTGAAAGGCTGCAATGAGGTCACCCCGCAGCCTTCTTTTCTCCCTTAGCCTGTCTTCATAGGGAAGGTGCTCCCCTAATCATCTCCGTGGCTCTCCTCTGGACCTTCTCCAACAGTGTTACATTTAGGTGGCTTTAAACAGCAAACTGGAATGTGCCACACAGGTAGACAAGCCAGCCTTGGGTCTGTGCCTTTCAACGTTCTGCTCATGTCTGCCCCTATGGACCCTGCACTTTTTCCACTTACCTCAGGCCTAAATAGAGGTTTTCAGCATCACTGTCTGAGTATTACTTGGTAAAAAGGGTTGGGTTTTGGCGGAAAGATGAGACATTGCCACAGCAAGGCAGTCCTGAGCAGCAACGTGACTGGCAGCCAACCAACCCAATGCAGGCTGATGCTATATAGCCAAGCTTGCCAGGTGACCACAGGTAGCAGATTTTGGGGTCTGCTTCACTGCTTTGCAGCCCTCATATTGCTTAAGTAAATCAACAGCTTTATTCACGTTCAGCAGAGTCTATTCTGAGGTTATTCACAGGAGAAACACCAAGGCCCCAAATCCATACTGCAACGCAATCACTTTCATCCTTCTGTCTATCTCGCTTTGCAAACCTAAATCTCACAACAAGCACTATCTGCAAATGTTCTGTTCTGAGCTGTAAGTCAGAACAACACATATATCCCAAGTACTCCCTCTGAGGGTCAAAGGAGAAAAAGATACCAGGGGACAACAGAAAGTACTCACGTCCAGCCACCACCTGAGTCTGGTGGGTCTGTGTACATAGATTTGGCTTCAAACCTAAGAACTCTCCCCAGCAGGCAGATCCATGTCCTTGCAGCTAGCAGCATTTTGGAGCTATACAGTGACACCAGCATCTAAGTATGCCACTGACCTTGCTCATTTAATTCTGCAGACTTAAATTAATATTATCCTTTTTTCCCATTCCTATTCCTTACATGCTCATTGTAATTTTTCTTCAGCTTCTTATACTCTTTTAATTCCTGACTACTTAAGCTGGCTCTAAGCAACTCTGCAGCATACGCCTTTGCTGTGAATGCTGACTGTCTCCAGGAGTCTGAACAGGGCAGATGCAGGGGGCCAGGACTGCTGCAGGCCAATGGACCCACTGCTGAACCAAGCTGCTGTCAGGGCTGAGTGCATTGGAGCAGGGGTGTGCTCACTGCAGAGAGCCCAGCACCAAAGCACAGGAAACTGAGCAGGATCAGACACTGCTGAGGTTGTGGGTGCTGGCCCCCCGGTTGCCCTTCCAATCCTGCCCCACTCCTCTTCCAGTGGCAAACACCAGGAGGAAAATCACTGAGAAAACCACAGTGCCATGTCTGCCAGGAGCTGGACTGAGCCTCTGGACCCAGCCGCCCAGCTGAGCACCATTTCCAGCTCTGGCAGCTCAGCCCTGCACTGCAGTACCTCTGCCCCAGAACAGGCAGCACCCCAGCATGACCCCAATGGACCCCAGACCCCTCTCAAATTCTTCTCCAGCTCACCAGGCAACAGCAGGGGAGCAAGGAACACATTTTACACGTTTGCCCAGTGCAATTATCCACATGCTGTCAGTGGAGGGGCTGCACTGTCAGCCTCAGCTGGATGCAGTTAAGCTGATTTGCACAGGCTGGCAAAACTCCTCTTCACAGACTGGTGTCCACTGTGGCCCTTATTGCTCCAGGGCTGCTCCCAACTCACTGCCCAGCCCTCCAATTTCCCTGCAGGGCGGTTTGGGGAGAGCTGGGCTGCTCTCTCATGTGAGCTCCCCCACTGGAGGGAAGGGTGCTGGGGGGAAGAGGGATAGCCTCTCCATGGGCCTGTGCCACAGACCTCCTTCCCATGTGTTTTGCCAGGCCAGTGAGGCCTTCGTGCCAGCACTGCAGGCCGGTATTTGCCAACTGCGCGCCACAGAACAGCACTGCTTGCTGCTGGCCAAGTAAAAATGCTTGAGCTCTGCTCAGTGCCAGAGAGGGCACAAAGGGAGCACAAACTCGGCACACACAGGACGCTTTGCGTCCAACCCCTGCATGCTCCCCGAGGAGCCTGCTCTAAAGAGAGGTTGTGTGAGCAACAAAAAAGGAAAGAGAAAGCTCTCCCCTTCCCGCCAAAAATTATGCAGCAGCAGGTCCGCGCAGTGTCTGCCAGATGACCCGCTTGTCACACTCATAATTGCTTCCCATCTGGTGTCTGGCGTACACAAAGCCTGGCCGTTCGCCAGCGCAGGGGCTAGGCACAGACTGGCCTACTTCTGGTGCTGTGGGCCGTGCAGACACCGGCTCCCTCCGTATGGCCCCGGAGAAGATGGCATTCACTTGTAAATTGCGGGCGGTGGGTTCAAGGGCTGCTCTGCCCGGCGCCCACGCAGCCAGCACACCGCCGTCCTGCTCGGGCAGCACCAAGAGGCTGCCAGGCTGCACCCACGGGAGGGCACGACAGGCACAGGTACGGCTCTGTGTTCACACTGCCTCGGGATGACACCTGCACAGCTCACTTAGTACATGTAGTTCCTACAGAGGTCTTTGAGGCACGTTGTTTATGAGTACGTTCTTTCAATGACCAGCTTGCTTTGTTTTGTTCTGTTTGGCCTAGTTGGTTTGGTTTTAATATCTATTCTTTCCATCTGCACTGCTGTCAGAAAACACAGAAAAGCAGGAATAGGGGAAACAATCCTGGGGACTGTATAGAAGAAACTTGAAATTCCATAAAAGGCAGCAGCAGGTACATAATTTCTTTTGCTACAGCAATTGTATTCAGGAGTCATACAGTCTAACAGCAAGGAAGTCTACCCAGCTCCACACCTCTCTGAAAACACAAACAGCGACGAAACAGAAGAAAAAATGGAATTAAACCAACCAACCAACCGAAGTTGATCCTGAGAAATGCCATATTGTACATCTCTAACTCTAAACACAAAAGCTGTAGCACAGAGGTCTCTTTATAATCACTAAGGTGGACTACAGTGGGTATAAGCATTCAAGTTTTAACTTGATATAAAGTGAACATAATGTATAAATTCCAAAGCTGTTTCTAGCACATGATGCTAGCAGAACTACAAGGATCCTATTCTCCCCCAGCTGCAGGGCAAGAGTCCAACCCACTGGAGGGATAGGCTGGCATTCTCCAGGGGAAGCCACACAGACCAGCAAGCTGCAGCTCCAAGAGGGACCTCTCTTTTGGCTCATCTGGCACAGGAATAATAATCCACAGCTCCCTAATGAAAGTGAGCATTTAAGCCTGCAATGCTTAAGCTTATCCAAGGTCAAGGAAACTTAAAAAAATATTTAAAGTGAGGTCTAGCATTAGAAGACATTAGTATGCTTACTGCCTGTATACCAAACTTCTATCTGAATGTTTGCTACAAAACTAAATGCTGAAATAAATTTCACTCTAAGAGTATTTGTTGTTCATGTTGTGTTGGACCTTGGTCACATATATGGTGCAGCTATGGTCATGCCAATGTCCAGTGTTAGAAGTCTCATTTCATGAAGCTTTATCAGTCACAACATTGCATCAGTTCTGATTTGGCACAGCTCAAGTGCAATTATTCTTGTGTACAACCAGACTAATAGTAGTAGGAATTGGGCTCATTCAAACTAATCAATTCCCTAAAGACCACTTCTTCTAAATAAAACCAAGCCTTTGAGTAAAGCTCCCAGAGTCTTTGTATAGTCAAACATAGGTTGTAGTTTATTCCACGTTTGGCTTTCTGGCAATCGGGCTCTCATTTTTTCCACTGATCAAAGCTGTCACAGGAAAAACAGATTAGCCAGCCACATCCATGGAGAGTCTTCACTCGTCTACCTGTGCTTCACCCTGATTTCTGCCAGCCACAAGAGCACAATCTGCCCACCTCAGTGTCCCAAGCAATGGAACACTTCAAGCATGCAAACATGGACTGGTCTGTGGGATATTCACACAGCAATCTGGCTAGCACAGCCACAGCCAAGAAGAAATAAAGTCTAATTCAGTTTAACATGTATTTGTATTTAAAAAATAAAAATCACATGATACAACTTACACTTGCTTTTAACTTCCAAGACCAAAACACATACACTAAAATATCATTTCTACCATACAAAATGGTAGGAATGCAAAAAAGCTTTAACAATATTCTTTATCCATCTGACTGCCTCCCCTATGTAAATATCTGTGTTGAAATCTTGAAAGACAAAAAGTATTAACCAAATACAAGGAGACTTACATGTAGCCTGGGTTGAAGCATGTACTGCCACAGGACTCCATCTTGCAGTGTAACCCAATGGTACATGTGATCCATGTTTCTCTGGACCCAATCCAGAAAATGTTATGCGACTTGCAGCATCACGTGCATGCATAAATGTTGCTTTAAACAGCACCAAGTATTTAAGTTCTCAAACAAAAGGGACATACAGTAACCTGGTACATAGATGCTTTATTTCTGACATTAATATGGTCTGCCTTGTATGTGAGATTCTCTTACATAAAAGTTTGTAGTACAACAAAAACTAAGATAAACAAGGTGTTTGTTGTACATTATGTCAAACCTTAAAACAAAAAAAAAGTAATTGAGTAATATGTATTTAGTTTTCATGCAAGTTTGGCTGCTGCATGTGGTCTACTTACAAACTGAAAGAAATGCAAATGCACACAACATTCAAAAAATAATAAAAGATGCCCGACATCAAAGATTAAAACCTTCTTGCTAAAGAAACAAAATAGGAGTTAACTAGATGATCCAACCAATACCAAACCAAATGAATACTACTTATAATAAATCTATGCTTAATCTCAGAATAGGGAGCTTTTATGATACCATTTCTGCTGAAATATATCATCCATGTTCTGGATATTTGTTCTCTTTAAAGTTCTTTCGCCCTTGGAGAATTAAATGCAGTCTCCAGCATAAAATGTTTTTGTTAAATCCACTGTGGTAATGTACAACTAAATCTAGTACTGCCAAGAATTCCAGTTCCTTCCTCTTGGATCTCACTGGTGAGTAATCTTGGCATGATGGATCTTTTCTGATCCCATCAGGTATAGGATTCCCCTCTGTCCTCCTCCTTAAAATTTTGGTCTGAATTAAAAACTGTTAAAAGAGGTTTATGCCTACTACTATCATAGCCAGGTGAATATTTAATATTTAAGATAAAATAAAAAACTCTTAAAAATAAGGATTGTATAAGCTCTGAGATGTTTAAAAAAGTTAAATAACCAATTACTTTCTTTGTGTCGACTCATCATGTGTTAAAATTCCCCACCAATAAATTATTCTCTACCATCTTTGATATTAAAATGATAGGAATACTTTCCACACCCTGCATAGTACTGGTTGATCTCATTAAGTTAACTAGAGAACCTGACATCATTTTTGTAATTTTACGTACAGTGCATACGATGCTCGCTCTTTCCATCTCTCATAGCAGCAAGCCGATTCTGCCACCATCTGTAGCAGCACACCCGGGAGTGGAGAGGAAGAGTGTTTGAATCATAAATAGCTAAAACTACAGTGTACAATTCTATTTACCTGTCAGTATTTGTTGATAACACACCATTGCCATTTGCTAGAAATTAACTACATAAAAATTTCTACAACAAAACCAAATGCAAACATTCCTTCAAAAAGAAAAAGACAAAATAAGTGCAAATACCTAAAATAGGCAACTAAAGCAACTGTTGTGACCTGTATACTTTTAAATAAGGACCAAGATTTTCATAAATAAAAGACGTTCTTTGCTCTTCAAACATTTAGTAAGTATATAATGGTCAAACTTAAGTGCAGATACAACTGTTTTGAGATCCAAGGTGCCAAGTTTCTTTAAAATAATAATAATAATAATAAGGTATAAAATGCATTAGTTTTTAGTACCTATGCAGGACAAAGTACTTCTAGGTCACATAACGGACCATAGCCTTCTTTTCTAAATATATTAAAACAAGGTATGGGAAGAGTTGTATATTGCAGGTATACCTTGTAACTATTTTGTAGACCAACATGATTTAAGGGGTATAGTGCAATCTTTATGTAGATGTAACATACAGTATAGATTTGTACACTTCAGCTCTGTCATTCTTCTGCTATACCATACTTTAAGGTTAAAGGTTTAAACTTGTCCTTTTTTCGTTTCTGCTGTTTTAACAGGAAACAACGTTGGCTTCTAGACAACCTGCATACATATAAATATCTACATTTAAGCTTTAAAATGAAAATAAATTATAAAAAGACTCCTTTCCAATTTACAGATTTTTCCTTGTTACTACACACTGTACAATACATTCAACAATCATCTCATTTTGAGATTTATGAAGAAAATACTGATGCTTTACACTAAAACCTAATTCACCCCTCTCTGCCTACTTCTAGTACCATTTGCAAATAAATATATTTAACACTGTAGTTAATTTCACTGTTTTGCAGCATACCAAAAAATTAGTAGTGCAACTTTCTATCCTTCCTTTATACACCTCTCCATTGTGTTTCTTTACATACTAGGAAAATGCTACATAAGCAAAAGCACATTCAGTCATGTATGTCGTTCATTCAGAAACCAGTAACAACCTATGAACCTACTCTATACACTAGCAGAAAAAAAGCAATGCAAGTCAAAAAAATAAATATGAAAAATAGACCTAAAAACTGTATATTCTGTATGTACTGCAATGCTCTTTGCTATTCTTTATAGTATTTAAAGGTATTACTTTTTTAATATTTAAGAAATGCATTGCAGAACTGTTTGTACTATCCCTTTGTAGAGAATACAGGAGTTTTGTGTCCGTTCTTTGTCAGTCAAGAAAAGAAAGGAAGCTTTAAGAAAGTCTGAAGGTTTCCCTTAGCATGCTGTCTCAAAGTAAAGACTTAATTCACAAGTATTGTGCTGGCATCTCCTTCAACACTGAATCCATTTCAATAGAAAGAGATGGTTGTCAGTTGCAGTGACCATCACAGTATCAGAGCCCTTGAAGTGTTACTGGTAGCTGTGTATGTGTTCAGATATCTTCTTGCTTGTTCAGTCATGATAAGCTGGTCTTCTGTTTTTCCATAAACAACAGCTTCCCATTCATAATTTGGCTGCATAAAACAAAATTCAATTTAAAAGATTATTCTTTTAACAAAAACATTTCTTCTTTAGAATTAAGCAAATCTCATGTAGCCTTCTAGAGTATAATGAATTATGAAATTCTAGCAATACTGTATTTCACTGGGAAGGATTTGTCTTCTGCAAGACAATACCAAAACTTGTGACAAAGTTCCTTCATTCTCCCATAAATCCACCTCACCAGCAGTGAGCTATAACATACCAAAAAATGCTCTTAAAAACAGATTTGTTCAGCAATTGAAACACAAAAGGGTAGTTAATTAAGTTGTCTTTTTTGATATATTCTCCTTTAAATATGCTAAGCTCAACAAGAAGCAAAAAGCATTATTGACAGCTGTCTGGGTAACATCAAGGAAGGCAAAAGAGTTTGGCAGCTGAAAAAAATACTGTAAAGGACTTAAATGAACTGAGCTGACAGCTGTGCAAGGACTGCCAGACATGGTAAAGGCATTAGAAGCAAAAATAATGAATGGAAGAGCCACTTGTCCTGCTTATTCCAGGAAGCAAATCCTGCACATTTACATGAGTCACTGAATCTCAAACTGATTTCTAGTAGCTCGAAATCAGAACTGACAGTAGCAGACTGTAGCATAAGGAAGTATTCAAGATTCTCATATGTGCAGGAGGGAGAAAAACTCATCTAAAATCACAGAGAAAATCAGCCATTTGAATTTCACTATTTATTTAGCATAACCTTGATTCATGGAAGGCCCCTGTGATTAGAAGAATTTAGTAAACTAAATTCCACTGGGGAAGGAAAGAAAAGAGAAAGATGATTCAATGAGAATACTGGTGAGTACAGTATGACTGAGTCCCCTTTCAAGCATTCTGAAGTGCATAGTTCTCAGCCAGGCAGACACATTGACCTTTAGTACAATTCACAGCATTTAATCTTTTTTGGAATCGCACAGTTATGTGAAGTTTATTCTTTCTCATCATTAAAAAGGATCAGCAAATAATATTGTTGTCTTTGTACTTAAAAACACACCATTGTTATAATGGCTAAGTGAAAAATGGAAGATAAGGCTATAAGTGCCCTGTCTTCCTATTTTTTAACTTTTAGAATTTATTCAGATAAGTAAATGTTCTGAGAAGGCAGAAAAACTATACATTAACTTCTATGGGACAAAACTATAGGTGCCAAATCAGGTCAAAGAGAATCTCTCCTGAAAACTGGTAGTCAAAACACACACCCAAAAACTAGGTTCCACTGTCAGAGCTAAGTAACAGTTTAAACAGTATGGAAAATACAGGGTTGTAGAACAGGCACGCTACAAGAACAATTACCAAACAGAACCTGTGGATTAACTCTGCTTAACAAATCCCACTGGAATTATTATGAAGTGAAACTGGACAAATCCAAGAAACTTAGATGCTATGGAGATTTAGTTTCCAGCAAGTCAGTGCTGCAAGCTTTCTTAGTCCTTGACTTCTTTGAACCTATCTTGTAAGTCTCTGCTATCCTGGTTTTATGCTGCATACACATTTAAATGTTAGAAGACACTCGGTTTGAACATCTGGGTTGTATTTAAAGAACTTAGGTATGAATAAACACTCTGTGGACATACGACCAACTTATGAAAAATAAGGATAACGGAAACACTGACCAAAATTAGAAAGAACTATTCAGTAGAACAGTTCCAGACAGACATTAGAACAAGATAGAAACAAACAAACAACAACAACAAAAAAAAACAAGAGCAAGAAATTGTTGAATAGTTAACCTGCTAACCAAACAAAAAGAATACTTCGAAATCAGACCTGAAGGGATTTCTCCAGTTTGACATTTTTTGAAGAACATGCATTCAGTTTCTTCTTAATTACTGCATTTGCTTTGTTTGATGAATTTGTGTCTTGGTTTTCTGATGTCAAGTTACATCTGTTGTCATGTATTTCCAACAATGGTATCATTAATAAAGATGTAGTATATGCATTTTCTGACTATAAATAAAAAAAAAGATAGGGAACATAAATAGTAATTAGTATTTCATAAAAATAATATTCAACTGCTGTGATCAGAGAAGTCAAAATGTAAACAAAGCAAATACTATCAGATAGTCCCTAAGAAAAAAGCTGAAAGGAAAAGTGATGAACACTATGTAAGTGAACTGGCTTGGTGTACACTACGATTCATAGTCAATTCTGATGATTAGCGCCCAGCATGAGTTCAGTATTACTGAGTAGACAGTTTCTCCATCCCATATGGAGCCATGCTACAGCTGATGATACGTTGTTAAGAGCAAGACTTTATCAAGTAACTACAGAACAATGCTGAAGAAAAAAGCTTGTAATTCAGTTCTAGTTGAAGCCCTGTGAAAGTAAGGATAAGGAGATCAGAGTAAAAACCAACCCCCCCCCCCAAAAAAAAAAAACGCAAATCAAAAAAATCCAGTCCATGGAATCATAGAATGGCCTGGGTTGAAAAGCACCACAATGATGATGTAGTTTCAACCCCCCTGCTATGTGCAGGATCACCAACCACCAGACCAGGCTGCCCAGAGCCACATCCAGCCTGGCCTTGAATGCCTGCAGGGATGGGGCATCCACAACCTCCTTGGGCAACCTGTTCAAGGACATCACCACCCGCTGAGTGAAAAACTTCCTCCTAATATCTAACCTAAACCTCCCCTGTCTCAGTTTAAAACCATTCCCCCTTGTCCTATCACTATCAACCTATGTAAACAGCGGTTCCCCCTCCTGTTTGTTTGCTCCCTTCAAGTACGAAAGGCCACAATGAGGTCTCCCCAGAGCCTTCTCTTCTTCAAGCTAAATAAGTCCGGTTCCCTCAAACTTTCTTTATAGGAGAGGTGCACCAGCCAACCATTTCTTTATCCATTGAACAGTCCATCCTTCAAATCCACATCTCTCCAATTTAGAGAGAGAGATGTGGTGAGGGACCATGTCAAAGTCTTTGCAGAAATCCAAGTAGATGACATCTGTTGCCCTTCCCCTGTCCACCAGTGCTCTCATTCCATCACAGAAGGCCACCAGATTGGTCAGGCAAGATCTGCCATTGGTAAAGGGCCATGCTGGCTGTCTCAGATCACCTCTTTGTTTCGTATGTGCCTTAACATGGTAACAAGGAGGATCTGCTCCATGATCTTCCCAGGCACAGAGGTGAGGCTCACTGGCCTGTAGTGCCTGGGTCTTCCTTTCTCCCTTTCTTAAAAATGACAGTAATGTTTCCCTTTTTCCAGACAGCCATGATTTTTCAAATTTGATGGAGAGAAGCTCAGAAACCACACCAGCCATCTCTTTCAGAATCCCAAGATGGATATCATCTGGCCCCATGGGACTTACATACATTTAGTTTCATAGGGAAGACTCAGACTTGTTCCAGTGCTTCAGTGGGATGCAATCCACTCCTCTCACCCACACCCCTAGAGGTTTGGCGTCCTGGTAGACTTGAGGAGCCTGACCACCAGTGACAACCAAAGCAAAGCACTTATTGAGCACCTCAGCTTTTTCCATATTTGAAGAAGTCACTGCTCTGTCCTCGTCTATCAGAAGGGGAACAATCTCCTTGGCCTGTCTCCCCCTGCGTATGTACCTGTAGAACCCCTTCTCGTTATTTTTCACATCTCTTGCCAAGTTCAGCTCTATCCGTGCCTTGGCTTTCCTAATCCTATCTCTACACATGCAGACAATGCCCCTACATTCTTCTCAGGCTACACAACCCTGTTCCCACTTCCTGTACTTTTCTCCCTTTTTCCTCAGTTTAAGCTGCAGGTCCCTGCTCAACCATGCCGGTTGCCTGCCTCCTCTGTCAATTTCTTCTGCTGCCATACTAGTATCAAGGGAAGAACTGTTTTAAGAACTGAAATAAGCACTGGATTGACCATTCCGCAGATGAGTTCTACATGCTAACAGAATTTTTGGAAATAAAGAAAAAAATCCAGCTTACTACAGCAAAGCAGAAGAAAGGTATACAGCAGTTTTAGAGAATAAAATTAGATGAGAACAACAGTGACAAAAGTATTTGTTTGTTTACAAAAACACGCCATTAAAATGTGTTAAACTACCTTTGTATATTTATTCTACCTTGGACCTAACTCCTAGCTTACCTCCCGATGGAGGCACAATTCCCACTTAAGACATTTTAAAATTAAATATCACTAGCATCTCTCCTCCTAGCAGAGCACTCCTACTGCACCAGCACCTGTCTGTCACTGGAAAAGGAAGAAAAGTGATTCCTCCAATCCACTGTAGCAGTACATAATGGTGCACCTCATTTTTAGCTTAATAACCTGAGCATAAGTGAAGGACAGTTCAGCATGCCGTAACAAGACATTACTAAAAGAACACTCAGTATTTTATTTCTGTTTTGAACAACTGCAGCTATGAGCAATACTAAGAGCTATGTTTTTGGGGAAGCAGAGAATTTCCACTAGGTGGCAGAGCACCTAAGACCTAATAGACACAAACGCCTATGGTGGAGCCTGAAGCATTTAAGAAGAGAATTTAGAGAAAACCAGCTACAATAATCAGAAAATGGTACGTCTTAAGCACATGTTGTTTTAGGTACTTAAACAGGGCTTAACACCTGATCAAGATTCATAAACGTTTACTCTCATAATTAAACACCTGCATGCATTATTATAATATTTATATTAGTTTTCCCACAGAAAGATTAAGCTATTTAGTTATTCTATTGGAATAATATTAGGGTACTTTTTAAAGGAATGCGGGACCAAGGAAGCCTTATATCTGAGCTTCTGATGTCTTGATCACTGAGGAAGAGGTATTCAGATTGTTTCAGGAAGAGAAATGTCACCAACTTTATCTCCTACATGGCTGATATTTCTTATTGTATTTCCTATTATATTAAATGAGAAAAGGAAAAGTGTGCTGCCTAGTATGCAAGTAGGTATTCTCATATCACATCTACCAGAATGTCTAGCATGCAAAACACAGCTGTAAACATCATCTACTTGTTTAGAGAGCTTCAGTGTGCCATATGTGAAGTTTACAGTTAACTAGCATGGAAAGCAGCTATGCTACAAAACACTGCTAAGCATCCACGTCACTCAGAATTTCCTGCTTCTGTGCCCTGAATGCCTGAAAGGAAGAATTAACAAATGGAAGCCCAATGTTCAAGTATTGCTTAAGTAGTTGAAGTAATATTTCAAAATAAAAGTGATTCTCACTTCACAGATTTATGAATCTAACCTCAAACCAAAAACTCTTGTAGCTGCTACAGAGAAAGACATTCAATTCCACACTCATATTGCATTAATATTAATACCTACCTGTACATCCAAACCACTGTCTTCTGTGAAGAGTTGGGCACCAAGCTCTTCTTTTTCCCATGCATCCAGGACCAGTGATTTTCTGACTTTTTTAGAAGAATTGTGCTGCAATAAATGTTTTGTAGAGAACGGTTGTAAAATACTATTTAAAAGCTGTTACTGTCTAGCTGAAATTATTATTATGAAGTTACCTCCTGCTTGCAGCTTTTATACACAGAGTCATCTTCCTCCTTGAGAAATATATCTGTTCCAGTTTCCTCTTTCAAAACTTCCCTAATGTCTTCCTCCAAGAAGGCAAGTGGTTGTGACTAAGTTAATTAAAAAGAAGAGGAGAAAATACAGAAAGCCCATTAGCTGCTAGTTTTTACCACTTTTTACTTTTGCCAAATAAGCGAACTTGCAAAACATAGCAGAGAAAGAATTTAAGCTACTGTTACTAAGGATCAACATTTCAAGGCTATACATGTTACTTCATGTTATTTCTATCCAGATAAAACACATACATGCACACAGTGCCTCCAAAAAAACCCAAAACCCACTCAGTAAGTTAGCGTTGAAGACGACATGCAAACTATTTGTTCACATTTTTAGCAACAGCTATTCATTAACAAAAGGAATACAAACTCCTTATATATACAAAGTACATACAAACACACACGTACACACATGTATGGACACAAACATACTAAAAACTGTATTATTGAAGTACGACTCTTGTTAGGAAAGGAATTTATATTAGTCTTAACACAAATCTTTGAATAAGACATCGATAGTCTTCAGTACAGTACAGAATTTCACAGAAGCCATACAGATGGCTCCTTTGTGTACCAACAGGAGAAGAATTCCCTTAAGCCTTCAAAATTTGATTTTGAACAGGAGGTTAACAGTGGACAGAAACAGTCATGCCAAACCGCTCCATTTGCATAGTGAGAGACTGTGAATCTATAGGGTAACACAGATGGTGCCAAGCCCTGTGGCAAAGTCTGAGCTACCTTCTGTGTTTGCAAAAAAAGTAGTCAATATACATTGGCTGGAATTTTTTCAGAACTTGAAAAGCGTGTGTCTACTGAATTCCAAAAGTTATTATGCATTAACATACCAAAGGTAGGTTAAGAAGGAAGCAAAAATTGGATTACTTGAAAAAAATGTAACATTATTCATAGTCAAGCAAAAAAAACTTTTCTGTCACTGCCAGAAGAATCAAAGGAGTCACAAATTGCTAAATTAAGGTTTTGTTTTTAGGATGAAGAAAATTCTAGGTTTCACTTAAGTAAACTCCTGAGAAGGGTTAGAACACCTCTAAGCATCTTCCCATCCAAAAGAGCTCAGAATACTAGCATGCTGTGGTAAACATCAAGTTTCAGTTCTAACAGTGTTGAAGAACCAAAACCAGAAAACAACTTAGCTCTTACATGGTCCAGAAGATCCAAAGATAGCACATTTTTTCAAGTTAAATGTGAATATTGCTTGAAATAAAGAAGTCGTTCATATTCACCTGCACCAGATTGCTGTCAGTAGGTTATCTGACTGAAGAACCCACATCCATTCAGTCTCTCACTTATGATTCTTCTTTTTGAAAATCAGAACGCTAAAGTATTAAAACTAAATTCTCAGACACTGATGTTACCACCTAGTAGGAGGCACACTGTTAACATGGCTACATCAATTTAAATTAACTGACAAATGTAGAAGCAATGTTTTAGTCTTTGTCAGTATTCCTAGATTTACAGGTACTGAACACCATTCAAAAAGGCAATGCCTCCATACTACACTGAAGGTCCACAGTCTGTCCAGCATAAAAAATCTGAAATGTTTTATCTACAGTTTAGCAATCCTGCAGGATAGTGCTGAAATTCACTGAAACATTAGCATTGTTAGAAAAAGCTTACAAAGACCACGCTAGGGCTTACAACGTCTAAAAAATAAGAGAGTATTTATAATTTAAATAACAAGAAAATAAATTATGTCATTACATACCGTAAGTTTGAGAGGGCCATATTTTTTTTCCTGAGCAGCCAAAGCATTTTTAAAAGGAGTTGGTGTCCTTGGTGTTGAACCCAACAGAGATCTTCTAATTGTGGGAGTCCGAAAACTATTAAACATAGAAAACTGTTCACACGTGTTTAAATATTTACTTTATCAACAGTAATTTCATAAAATGAATCTACAAGCCAAACATTTTAAAATACCTTAATTCACGCAATAGATATCACTATCATTAAACATTAAGCATTACAATCACAATAATATTACCCTAGCTATATAAAAAATTGAAATTTTTAAAAAAGGAAAAAATTAACTGAGTACAAGTCACTGTTAAGTTAAATAGAAGGCCAGTTTATGTTAGCATACACTTAAGTGTTGCAGCTTCTAAAAATCATTTATAGCATGTCTATAGATGGAATGATTTCTCAACGTATAGAAAAAACTTGCTTTTATTTAAGCGACACCAAGAGATGCTTAATGCAATAATCCTACCCTGCATTTTCCTTTTGATCTGTTGGTGTCGTTTCCTTGTGTAGAGGAGTCGTAATGAGAACTTTCTGCCCACAGATTGGCGTTGACGTAAATGCAGGATTTTCAAGGTTAAATTGTTCATTTCCAGAGCAAGTGTTGAAAAACTAAGCAAACAAAGGACAAAGGGATCACTGTATCAAGCATTAAAATCTGTATGTGTATCAGAAGGGTTTTCACTGAGAAACCCCAATAAACTGATTTTGATACACCAAGATATTTGCCATATTTATCACTGAAACTTCTTAAAATCCCTACTGCTTGTTAATGCCAGAGACAATAGGCCTTTATCTACAACTGCTTGCATGATTAAGGGTGATCTGAGCTGCAAGTCCCCCACTGAAATAGTCAGTCTTCAAAACTTCAAAAGGAAATCTGTTATTTTAACATTTCTTGATAGATCTACCCGAAACACATGTTTTAAGAAGTCTTTGGACATATTTAGGCTGCGATGCACTACTAGGGAAGAAAGCATTTGTAATTTATAACCCAGCCACTGTAGTCTTCCTAGCTTAGCCGCATTTAAAAATAAACTCACCTGCGATGGAGAAAATGGTAGTGTTTTCACTGGTGTGTGCTTTAGTGCAACATTGATGGCATCGTTACACAAGCCATCATTCAGTTCATTAACTGGCGATTGCCCAACACGCAATCTCTTCTTCTTTCTTAAGATAGCAGGCGGAGTGCTATATTTAGTTACATTTGGAGTGCTTGGAAAAACCGCCTCTTCCTCACCACTGACGCTACTGTGTTTTTTGCCATCAAGCATGACACTGACATTAAACTGGCACTCTGCAGCCCGTTCGTTGTGTTGAATCCGCATTAGTTTTAATGGAGCTGGCTTGACAGGAGATGCAACAGCCTCAGAAAGGTCAAAACTGGTGACATCACTCCAAGCTAAAGGATCCTATGAGGCAAGATACAAAACGCTCAAACACTAGCAGTTTTATCTAAGATTATTTCACAACAACAAAGCCAGTCTTACAACTTTCTTCCCTCACAGCTTATGTAATGAAAAATTACACTCCCTGTACCTTACAAACAAGACTAAAACACAAAACATTTTAAAGCAATCAATAAAACAAATCACTTAGTATAAGTGAAACTACAGCCAAGTGCAGTATAAGGTAATTTCAAAAATATCTTATACTAATTACACTCCGATGTCCCTAAATAACTTTTTCGCTTTCTTTTCTTAAAAATAGCATGAATACGGACTTACTGATTCAATAAGCTCTAGTGTCTCTGCAAATTCAGGAATGGTTTGTAGAGATGATAACACTGCATTTGCTTCCACTGCCAAATACTTAGTGGGTGAATTCTGCTGAACGGATGTGCCCTGGGTCTCATCAATGCTGTAGAATTCGCTTGTTTGTTCCCCAAGGCTATTTAGTGTATTAGGTACACAGTCTTCCATAACAAAACTTCCAGACCAGGTAGGTAAGCTTCCAGCTTGCTAAAAGGTTTGAAAAAATGTTTTGAGCTTATTCAGCTTAGAAGTTGAGCAAAGTCAATCGTTAAGCAAGGAAGAAAAATAGTTGAATGTGGAAAGACTAAACATAACTATTAATTTTACTTTTTCAAACACTAGTTATCTGTTCAAAGTAATGCAGTTAGTTAACACACTAAACATTCTCAAACTTTGTCAGATTTTTATCTCAACTCTCATTCTTGTCTTATACATTGATAATTAAGGAATGTATTGGAAGCCATCTGCGATGCAAGTTTCCTGTTTTTTCAACATCACCTAAATATAAATTCATTTTCAGTAAAGAACAAGATTCCTTTTAAGATCAGAAACTCTAGAAGATTAAATTCTCCCAGTATAAGAGATTTTTAATGAAGATTCTACACTAATAACTCGCTTACCTTCTAAGTGGTTACCCTATTTTAGTACATTGCTTAGTGCTCAAGAAACAGATTTTTGGACTAAAATCTAGAAGAAAAGTTTATTCTACTGTACAAGCAGAACATTACACCATTTCAAGAGAATGCCAGGAATAACTCTACCACATAAAAACAGAGGTTCACCTGTAAAATAATTAGTGATCAGTAAGTTCTTTAGGTATCTGATGTTGCTCACAGCCCTTTGTTCTTGAGGAAATGTCTATCACCTGCAAGCTTCTCACTCTCAATTGAAGTTCATGAAAGTTTTGTCCAGTGCAAATTTATATATAGCTTGACATGTCTAAATATGGATATTAAGTACTGCAAACACACCCAAAAGTTTGACAGAAATATAATAATAATGCGTCTTTTACTTTTCTGTCAAACAGCTGATTGACATTGCTGATTTACAGAACTGAATTGCAGGGACATGAACAAGCATGTGCTAACTTTTGAAAGGGATTAAAATTGTGGTTCTTAAATTAGGAACAACTGTCAAACGGCAGGTCATATTTCTGCTGCTTTTACAGTTTAGAATACTGTGTTTTGCCTCAATTCAATATATAGACTTTGTTTTACAACTGATCGACAGCTTCCATTTTAAAAGGTCAAAAAAAATGCAAATTCATGTCTACATTTCTGAAGATTAGTCTCAGTAAAGTCTACTGAAATATTTATAGAAATGTACAGTCCTTACAGATGATAATCGTTTTCTTCTGATTTCGTTCTCTGCTGACATGAGCAGCAACTCAAGTTCCTTTATTTTCTTTTCTTTGTCAGGATCATCATCAATAAATGACTGCTGAAAAATTTAAGAAAGAAGACATTACTGTTTTCCACTTTTACACCCTTCCACAGCAAGGATTCCATATTATATTTTAGCTACATTTTTACCAGCAATCTGCTGGAACAAAGCTGTACCAACTGAATCATATCTGGTAACACGGTACTCATGTGCAAGCAAAACAAGTCTAGAAATTTACAGGAGAAGGATCTGATGTTATATTACACAAGTTACTATTCTAATATGGCTTCTAAGATAATCTATAAATGCTAAGTACAGCACTTTTAAACTAAAAGTCACTCTGTTTCATCTTTCACAGAGGTAACAATATTGCCATCTTTGTAGATGTGTTTGTGTTTTCACACATTTTCTACAATTTTGAATAATTTGTTTTTTTCCTCACCGTGTAGGAAAGCATTTCAAATCAACATTTGCTGACAAAGTATATAGGCAATCAGAAACTACCAGAAATGTTAACTTGTTGGAGGACTTAAAAGAGCAGAAAATTATTTATTTCTTCATAGAACAATCCAGCGTCAGATGCTGCGCAAAGCTTTGTTACGATTTGTATTCTCATACTGAGATCAGCAAAGAAAATTCAGTATAAAGCAGGTTAACTGCTCAAGGAAACTTAACATTAGGCATGGAGTCCTGCAGAACGACTTTAACGCACCTAGCACAAGCAAAATATTTTTTTTTCCCATTGTCAAAGTTATTGTTTTACTAATTTCAAATTCACAAAAACTCTTCCAGGAAGTTATGCTATAAGCCCAGATCACAGAATAGAAGGGGTTGAAAGGGACCTCTGTAGATAGTCTAGTCCAATCCATCTAGTCTGCAGTACACGAGCAATTTCAAATATATTGGCAGTAGATGAGTATAACAACAAGCAAAAAGATACACCGGTTGTTTTCCCTCTCTGCTTTTGTTTTGTATTGTTTTTGTTTTTTAACTTGACAGTTTCTCAATACTTTGGTATTTAGAATGCTGCAAAACAGCACCTTCAACTCACAGATCATGTCTTTAAATATCACAGGAGACAGATAATTCTTACACGTTACAATTTTAACCTAAATATTTAGGTAATAATTAGGATTAAAGCCATACTTCTGTCAGAATTGAGCACAACTGTTCTATTAACATACTACATACAGAATTAACTTCTTATACCCTTCATTGTCACCTTATAAAGCTCTCCCAAGGAGAGAAAAGAGACTAAAGCAAACAAGCTCACTTTCAGCACTAGTATCTATAAAGACAGCTCCTTTTTTTTCTACCTCGAACTACAAATCAAGTCAGAAGATCTACTTGCAGAGGAACATACATAAATTTAGATGAATAAAGACTTAGAGATAGTTTGAAGTTACGTGTTTACTCCTCGTTTTACAGTACAATACATAGTACACTCTCTTCATCTACAATACCCAGTAACAATTTACCTGAACTAAGTTGGCAGATGCAGAAGCATGTTCTACACAGCTGTCTTCTGGTGAGGCATACTGGTACACTGGAATCTAAAAGACACAAATCATTTTAAATACCCTTAAAAGAAGTCTATAAAATTAGTTCTATTTTATCATACATAAAATATTCACTATAGTTTAGAAATCCTAACTTACCACAACATCACAAAAACATTTAATAGATCTTCACTCTCACAGATGAGTTTCTAGTTCCAAACCAAATAAACAATTTGAAACTCGGAAACACTTATTATTCTGAATGTAGAACTTACATGTGTCTGAACAGGGATGTAAAATTGATTCTGAGTGTGCAAGTGTTCCATAGTCACACAAGGCTTTTGCGGAAGTGTGGATGAACCAGTTCTTTCAGAACTAGATTTTGTACCATCTTGTAGATATCCTTCCTGTTCCACCTTTCTTCGCATTGTTGAATTCCAGTGATTTTTAATTGAATTATCAGTCCTAAAATGAAAGTGCACAACAATAACTGGTTTCCATATCTCAGAATGTTTAAAATACAGCATTGATCACACGGTCTGCACACATAAGTTAATCCAAAGTCTCAAATCTAGAAGCTCTAGTAAGTTTGGAGATTGGAAGTTCTATTACAAGCGTGTTGGGTATTTTCCAAAGAACTACTAGAAAGCTGCTTTTTCCAGAACTTCCTTCCACTTAATTTTGAGGCTGCAGGATATTACAAGTAGCAAAAGAGAAGGCTTTGTTTCTGGTAACTACTATAGGTGAGAACCTCAAATCTTTGGATCAACTTCTATCACTAGACCATCTATACCCTATGTTACTGAATTTGCAGAACTTCAAGCTAAGACACTTGGCCTACTGTCCTGCAGTATGATAAATACCACCCAGAGTGCTCTTGTCATTCAAACTTATCTTTTCTTAAATGAAGCATGCATTCACAGCACTAAATCTGTGTGTGCAGCTTCGTGGAAGAAAGTGCCAATGCCTGGTAATGTCACCTTGTACAGGGAAAGCAGGCATGGCCAAAGATGAATACCTACTGCCACTCCTATGGCAAGGAAAGGCCCACAACTTGACAAGTGTAGTGAAATCGCTTAATACAAGGCAAAAGTTGAGGATGGTCTAAAATACTAGTACCATTACTACTAGCATTAAAGAGGTATGCATAAAAAAACTGGCTGTAAGTTGCATCCTTCACATGAGCTCAGCTCCAAGATGCATTCCTCCTTTTCACTGCACTACTGTTAGATTCTTCAACAGTCTCCCAGGCCTATTTGTCTACAGCGATGAGTTCCATCTTGGATTTGCTTTCAGTGGATTGACTAAATTAGGAATGCCTCTGTCCTTATAAACTCACCCTCCCCCCCTGAAATTCTATTCAGATTCAATGCATTCCCATTCCTCCAAATTTGTGATTTCAGTGCTTAATCAGAGTGTAAAAACTTCTAGACATATATTACAAAGGACTCTTTCTCCTAACAGAACAGGTGGCGACATTCCCTATGCACAGCTAGAAAGTTACTTCTGAACACACACGCTACATTCAGAGAGAGAAGCATAACATTGAATTATTAACAGTACAAGGCTAAAATTTTATTTCATTAAAGTTTTTAATACACTGAAATCTTGTTTTCTACAAGCATGTAAGTTGGCAATCACACTTGAAAGCTGAGAACAATCCATAAAATTAATTCTTAACTTGGAGACTATAGAGTGATCAACAAGCTTCACACTACGCAAATGTTGCACAAAATCTTAAGGAAAAAGACTTTGGTATTGAGTCATAGGATGTTAACGCATTCTTCCACTGTTATCTGCAGGTATTCTCTTCAGCTCTGCAAAAGGTTTTTTGGTTTTTTGAAATCAGAAGAATTATAAGTGGTCAGAAGGATTTTGAAAGAATCCTGCAGGGTGCTAGAAGTCCTTATCTGATTTTCTGGCTTTTTAAAAATATATAATCATATGCAAAAATCTTCAATGATACAGATTTCACTATTTATCAAGATAGAAATGTAACAGCAGATTAACTCTGACAAGCAAATCACATTGAAAAGAAGTTTCTAATGACTGCTTTTCATATTGCAATAGCTAACATAAATAGAGTTGAAAAGCACCTTCCGGGAAGCAGCTTTGCTATTTCAGCCCATCGGTTTCCCAAACGCTTGTGAGCTTCATAGATTACTCTGTCTTCTTCTTCTGTCCATGAAGACTTTTTTACCTCAGGGTTGAGATGGTTATGCCACCTCTCTCTGCACTGTTTGCCTATTCTTCCTTTCAGGTGTTTTGCAATTAGAGACCAGCGCTTTGGACCATACTTTTGAACTAATTCAATAACCTGGAACACAGATGGAAGTATATAGTTATAATTTCAAATCCTAACATTTCCTATCAAAAAAAAGAACAGAAAACAGGTGAAGTCCCATTTTAGAAAAGGATTATAATAGTAAATTTGATAAAACATAAGACCTAAGGAAGTAGACAGTAAAATGGGCTTAATTTTTTTAAATTATTTATTAACTCCAAATTCACTGGGTTTAGAATGTAATTGCATACTGATGAAAACAAATGTTTGGAAGCTACAGAATTCCTATCATCCATTGCATAAACTGATATTGAAAAATTTGAAAAACGATGCTGTGAAGATGTCTGGTTCAATCTTTTTCAAAAGCATCAGTATGAAAAAAATAATTTTCACTCCCAAGCCATTTCTACAGTCTTTTGGTTGTGTTGTTTGCTTTTAAAATATATTCAAAGTTTTTCCTTAAAAAGACTAGTGAAAACTGTTAAATAATGGATTAGGCAGGTCATATTTGACAAATGCTAGTTTTAAACAGTGGGAATAAGCAGTCAATTTAAAATACAGTATGTGAAAGCTGAAAGTGCATCTCTCTAAGGGGAGGCTAGGTTTTGCAGGCAAGAAGCTGCAGTGTAGATTAATGGAAGTGTGGAAAAGGAATCCAATACACCATTATTAGCTTCTTTAATAGCAGAGCATGAAAAAATTTCCCTCAGCCCCAATCCCTTTAAGTATGGTGGGTTTGAGAAACAGAAGATGTAAATGAGATCTTTGATGCCATAAGGAGATCTCTTCTGCACAGTGAGCTAGAGTTCAGCTAGCAGCCTGAGCAAAGGGAAATGAAACACTTGAGTAGACCAGACACTCCATCTGCTTAAGAGCAGCTGCATTTTTTTCCTTCACAAACAGCATAGTGCAATGTAATTCACTATGTCACATGATGTACGAGACATCATGTGTGGGGTTGAAGCCTAAGAAAGAGGTAAACACTTTTAGCAGTCATATGTTAATTTTATTATAGTAAAAAAGTACAGTATCAATCAGTGCTCATTACCCTCTGATCTTCTTCTTTAGTCCAAGGACCTTTAATCAATTCTGGGTTTAGTACCTTCTGCCATCGATGCTGGCACTGGAAATCTGAACGGTTCTGAAATAAAAGACCAGTGCAGTTGATAAACTTTTAAATAACACACAAGACAATAAACATTAGTTAGCCAGAACTCTAAGCTTATTTCAAATTAAATAAAAATCTAGATAAATTTTTAAAAGTTCTCCCTTATTATTTCTTCATTGCAAGAACATTTCTGGAAAAAAGGATTAAAAAAAGCAACTTTACATGAAGTTCTAATCTGATTGCAATGGTCTTATTTGGTAACTGAGTTAACAACTTACTTTCCTTTAAAGAAAAACTTAGTTATTTCATCCTACTCCACACCTTTTCTGAACTTTAAGCAATTTACATGCTTTTGACATTAATGTTTTTCCCCATATAGACTACTGATCAAAGATATACTACTTCTTTCAAGAAAATATTTTTCTAACCCTCAAATGTATGCATTCTCAATTTTTCACTACAGCATCAAGGAAAAGAGATTTATATCAAGTTTAGCTAACACACTAATTAAACAACATGGCTTTTTCTGATCAGGACAGATGGTGCTTTTCTGTAGCTTCACTAAAGATCTTTTGAAATATTGTTCCCAGTTATGAAAGAGAAGATTTCACTTCACCTCCTGAAAAGCACCTGCAAGAAAATTTGGGATTACCAGGATGTTGGCTAGATCCCTAGAAATATACAGATAAGAGCCTGATCCAGTACAATACAGGAGCATGCCTTTTATGATGCTAGGACACAGTAATTTGCTGCCTTCAGTGCAAGCTGCTGGATAGCAAGTACTGATTTCAAAGCATTACCATGCTAACAAAAAGTTAAACAAGAGGCAGTTTGCAGACCACAAAAGGCACCATTAGATCTAAAATTACCATAATAATTTCAAGTTAATCACAAATAGACATTGTCGGTTTAAAAGCACGCTGAAATTAATTATTATAAACACCTCATTTGCCAGCAAAGATGAGCTGTAAAAGATAGACTTTCAATATATGCTAGTTGTTCCCATCTTCAGTGGGAGAAAAATTTTGAAGTTGGAGCCTTGTAGTATTCTTACCTTCAGTTTCTGAAATCACCACATTTGAAGTAGAGAAGCAAGACATACGGTGAGATAAAGTCATTTCAGGTTGTCTGCTTTACTCACAGTAAATTGAGGGAGAGCAAACACAGGTTGTATTTTCTCCCCCTTGAGAGTCACCTTTCAGCATTCTTCACTTTTATTTGGGCAGAATAGAAGGGAAGGTTTATTTGTGCCCAGAACAAAAATGAAATAGTTCTAAAAACATGCTGGTAACTCAGCTGGTCTTTCTAGAGAAAGAGCATCAGTAACAAAGTGCTACTCATGCCAATCCCTATTATTTGGCATTGTAATTTGAACATAGCAACAGGTTGCCTGGAGAGGCTGTGGAGTCTCCATCCATGGAGATATTTAAGACCTCACTGAATACAGCCAGTCAGGGCTGGCTGCCCTGGACTTGCCCCAGCTGACTGTGCTTGAGCAGGAGGCTCAGAACAGATGACGTAGTTCTGTTATGGACAGTCAGATCCTCCATGTATGTTTCCCATAATAGCTGAGGAACCTTTTTTCAGCCTCACTTGGACACAGCTGAACAACAGCTGTCTGTCTCAAGAAGCATTTTTTTTCAGCTGCAAAACTTTTTATGAAATCAAGATGCAACTCCATGCTGTGCTTATAGATTGGTATAAAAAAAAATGGTGCCAGTGTTTGATATTATCCCTGTCTTCTGCCCTTCACTCATTTTGCTGTGTGTTTTTTGTTTGTTTTTTTGGTAGGGGACAATGTACATTTAAGAAGTTTATAAGTAATTCACTATTTCTTATATTTGTAAGCCTTAAGCTTATAAACATAAGCTCAAGATCTTTGCCATCTGAGAAAAAGTCTGTAGAAGCACACCGCATAAATACTATGAGAAAAAGAGGTGTTAAAGTATTTTGAGTTCAGCTTTACTTTTACCTATTCACACTGGAGTTTCATGCAACTGTATCATCCCACTCAACGTTATAGGAACCAAAAACAGGGTATTGATTTTTAGGTTTCTAATATTTGAATACTCTGTACCACTTCTTGGTAGTTATTTTAGCATTAATAAATTCTAACCATGTTTTTATATTATGTATTTCTACAAAATTTAATCAGAATAAAAAGAACATCATCCATTTTGTTGAAAGCTTTTTCTACCAGTGCAGCTCATACAGCTGATGAGTCATTTAGCAATTGAATTGACAGCTCCTTTACTCATTCCAGTTGACTGCCAGAACAGAACATTTAAAAAATTATAATAGTAAACTTTCAAGAAATGTGCTAAGGTTCCATTAGTAGCAACTGAAGATATCACTGAGTGGAGAGATTTACATTTAATAGGGAAGCTGACATCCCTGTAACAGCAGCAACGAAAAATAAAAACAGAAATGTACAAATACCATTTCCTAAAGTGCTAGGGAATCAATCCTGCTCCTTTGAAGCATCTTCCAGGTGCAACCCACTTTCCTACCTGCTTCACAAGCAAATAGTGAAGTGTAGATGCAATCACCACTAGGGAAACAACCCATGGAAAATTAGAATATATTCTATAATGAAAGCAAATACCAAGTGTGAATTTAAATGAAAAAACATACTTTTTTTTTTTTTTTTTTTTTTTAAATCGATGACTTAAGTCATTTCAGTTCATCATTCGAGCCCCATGTTTCCTGATGTCTGAGCTAGAATTCAAGTCCAAATTACAAGCATCCTTTCAAATATATACGCTAGGCTTTTCTGGTTTGTTTCACCTCAGCTCCAAACTAAACATATGATCAAAGTAAACAAAGATCAGAAGGAAACTTAAGTGAAATAAAAATTCAACTTACTTGTAGGTGACTAGCAATGAAAGCCCAATCGTCTGTACCATTTTGTTCCACCAGCTTCTTCAGCTTTTCATCCTGTTAAGACAATCTCAGACAATAAGTATTATAATCTACCCCAATACTAAAGAATAACAATTTTCAATATATAACCAATATGAAATATGAAGGAAATCATGCAAAAATCACCTCATCACGTGTCCATTTCACCCTGTTACATATCTTCTTCAAGCTTCTTTGCTGTGAGACTTCATAGTCATGATCTGCGTATTGAAAGTCATCATCTTCTTCACTGCTGAGTACAAGAGAGCGAAGAAGTTGGAAATAGACAACTCTAACTAATTTACTCTAACTACTTGTAGTTTTCTCCATAATCATTACATATCCTAACAAAACAAATGAAGTTCTTGTGAACATAAGACCTGCCTCTAGTAGCAACTTCATAATCACTATGTCAAAGGAACAACATTAGTTTGAATTTCCAGGTCATACACCAGGATACAGACGTAATTCCTTCTAAGTGAAGATGCAGGTTTAAAGCAAAAGCTGTTAAGATCATCTTTTCATAACACATTTGTGAATCTTTATTTCAAAATAAAAAGCATGAAATGAAAAGGATCACTAGTCTGAAAAAATCCATTCATGGTCCACCACCGTAATTCCTGCAACAAACACAACAAGGATACCAAAGAATTCAGCCTCAGCTTGAGTTTTTAAGTGGTCTCCTGCCTTGAGTATCGCCTCAGTGTTACAGATACAAAACACAGCTTTGAAGACAGAAACACCGCAGCAAGAGATCAGTACAGTGTATGCACTGATCCCCTGGGGAAAGAGTCAAAGGGGCGGGAAACCTGGTAATGTTTGCAGCTCCACGTAGGTCATGCTCCATCTACTGGAGAAATCCATACCTCACAGCCTTGATAAACAAAGCCTTTCAAATAGGAAGCACAGGGAAACGCTTCATGGAAACAACACTTAAACTGACACGTCAGTGATTCATGCTAGACAGCACTAATTTAAACAAGTGAGGAAACCTAGGCCTAGCAGCAGGAAGGGCAGCTCCTCTGCATTAGTTACAGCAAAGACACAGAGGAGACACACATCTAGTTATGCAGCCTTAATCATAGTGAGTTTCACACCGCATTTTAAGTTTCACCCATTTTGTTATCAATGTAAAGCACAATATTGCAAGTCCATATCCAGAACTAAGTTTTTCTTCTCAGTTGAGAAATTTATTCTTGCCTCCTCCCTTCCCCCCCCCCAATCAAAGATAAATAAATCCCTTCTCAGAAATGAAGCAAGCCTATGCTGGTGTCCTAAGAACTATTAGATGGCAGAGCTCTGAATTAATTTCTAGAACCCACAGTTCACCCAACAGCCCATAGACCAGCCAAGTGTGTCGTCAGTTACTTCACATGGAGTGAACACCTTCTCTGCAGCTAACATGAGCACACAGCCATTTAAGAAGAACACTGCTTACCTGAAAGCATTACTACAGGACAGGACGTGCCCAACTCCCGCAAAGCCAGAGCATTCAACACGGCTTCTACACCCTATGCTGTATCCCTCAGGAAGATTTTCCTGACTTAACACCATGAGGCAAGTTTTAAGAAACTTTGTGCAGACAATAAAACACAGTCAGCTTGTCTAAAGATTAATATCCTTATTCACACCTCTTGAATAAAAAGCTGGAAGTCCATTTAAATAAAAACGATTATAAGAGTTTTCCATTAATTATCTTAGGACTTAAGAAAACAGGGTTTAGGAGCAACAACATAAAAAAAAAGGAAGATCTTGTTGCTTTTTTCTTTTTTTCCCCTCTTTTTTCCCCACAGGCTCTTGACCAACTTCAGGAGCATACCTTGGTATTATAATCCTATTTCATACCATACAATCTACTTATAACCAAAGATTTGGCCTTGCAGTTCAGCCCACTGTCAACAGCACCTCCCCGCTCAACCGGTACACAACAACCAAGAGCGATCAATCAAGAACCGAGTCTCAGGTTATATGAAAAGCCACGCAGATTTAAAAATAGTTAAAATATAATAATTAAAAAAATGGAGCTAAAGGTAGCTGAAAGCCCTGCACCCGCAGTTCTGGAGCCAGTGCACTCTGCAGGCAGTGAGCTCACCTACACCTGGCTCGGCACAGGGAGCTGCTGCATCATTGGTCTTGTGCTGAGCGGGACACAGGATTATAAAACCAACACAGAAGGACGTTTGGGGATTGCTGTGATTCCAGCTGAGGACAAAAGATTTTCCAAAGATGTTCGATCGTTCATCTGGCAACTCACAGCAGCTGTGAAAGCGGACTTAAACATGGCATGGATAGAACGCAGCCAACAACTTCCATCAAATGAGTAACCAAAACAATGAAGCATTCCATGAGCTATGTGCAGGCCGCCTTTAAACATCCTTTACCTTGAGACTTCTTTTATTTGGTAATTCTTACTTTAAAGAAATAATAAAACTACTTCCCAACAAAAAAAAAAAAAAGAAAAAACCAACCAAAGAACCAGTTGTAGTTTAAGAAAATTAAACTTCATTCCATTTGGTGCAAAAAAATTATAGTTTCTTTTCACATCACACTTCAGCCAATGACCTTGAAACCACCTTATGGAACTCAGAACTACACTTTTTTTTTTTTTTTTTCCTCTGGGCTTTATCATCACCATTCACTGCCACAGCGCTCTTCTGGAGCTACAGGTCTCTAACCAGAGGCTCCTCTGCTACCACAGCTAGTTTTATTTTCTGTTGTGACATCAAAGCCCTTCACGCTCCTGACAGAGAGTACAAGCTGAAGCTTTGTAAAGATGAAACTGCAGTTTGCAGGAGTGCAGCTGAAGGTACCTTGCTACAGAACGCCTGCTACAAGCAACAAAAACACTCCCTGACCTGGCTCCTGCAGACCCAAGGCTCTGCCATCAAAGCCTGCAGTGCACCATTGCTCCTTACACAGCAAGTACTCCAAGGTATCGCTTTCTTGGTTCAGCTGCGGTTTTTCAGAAGAAAAGCATCTGCCAGAGAAACTATCTGCGACTTTGAGAACGGCACCAGCTCTACGGGAGCACTGCAGCAGCCCCGGGTAGCGCGCACACATAACTGCCGCTGCTCACTGAGCATCCTTTCCTCTCCCGGCCCTCGTTCTCCTTTTACGTCGTTTTATCACTTTTTCAAAAAGCGATTTTCTATTTAGGACAGGAGCAGTAAAGTACTTCTGCCAGACCCACGTTTGAATTCAAAGCGAAGACACACCCATCTCCATATCAGTAAACAACAAACGTATCAGAGCCATCTGCGGCCGCTGCCGAAGCCCCCAAGGAAAGCTCCCCCCCCGGGAAGGCTTCGGGCTGCGAAAAAGCACCCGAGGACGCTTTCTGCCCCAGCACGAGGGGATGCCCGCCGGGGCAGCGCCCAGGGCGGCTGCGCGGGGGAGGGGGCGCTGCAGGGGGGGCAGGCAGGGGGCACCTGCGCGGGGAGGGGGGCGGCACCCGGCGCGGGGAGGGAGGGGGAGGCGGGGACGGCTCCCGGCAGCGCTCCGGGCCGGGCGGCGCCGCGCACTCACCTGCGCGGTCTCTTGGCCATCCTCGGGTCGCAGCATAGGGGGGGCCGCCAGGGCAGCGGAGCGCCCCAGTCCCCGCCCGAGCTCCTCGCCCCGCAACCGCCGAGCTCGGGCCGGGCGGGGGGAGGAGAGGGGCAGCGGCGGCCGAAGGAGGCTTCGAGTTCCCGGGACGGTTCCCTCCCGCCCGCGGAACTCCGCGGCATCCGCAGCGCGCTGCCGGCCGCCCTCAGCCCCGGCCCGGCCCGGGCGCGTCAGGCATGGCTCGGCCGGGCCCTGCCCGCAAGGACGGGGCGCGCAGCGGCCCCTCTCCCGCCCGCCGCCCGCCGCCCCCCTCCTGTCAGAGCCGCCGCGGTGCTGCGGCGGTGCCTTCCCGCCCCGACCCGCCGCCGCCCGGTTTCTCTTCGCCTCGCCTCACCCCGCCCCGCCCGCCGCCGCCAGCCAGCCACCCCCCCCGCGGCCCCGGCTGCGCCGCCACCGCCACACTCGCGGCGGGCTCAGTCGGTGCTGCCGAATCTCGCGCCCAGCCTCCTTCCCGAGCCACCGTTTGAATCTGCGCAGGCGGACTGCCGCCCCATTGGCTGCCGCCGCCGCACGCGACACGGGCGCGGGCGGGGCCAGGGGGAGGCGGGGCCGCGCGAATCCTCGCGCCAGCCCGAGGCGGGGGTGGGGGGGAAGGAGGAGCGGCGGTGCGGGCGCGTAACGGGGCCGCGAGGCGGCCGGCCGCCGCCGCCGTCTGGTAACGCCCGCCCCGCGCGGACGCGGCCAGTGCAGCCCCCGCGGGGCAGCGGAGACGGTTAACCGCTCTCGAGAGGGAAAAAAACCGTCGCGGCCTTGCGGGGCAAAAATCAAGCCTCCTTCGAGCCGGAATCGAACCAGCGACCTAAGGATTCCCGCGGGCGGCGCCTCTACAGTCCTCCGCTCTACCAGCTGAGCTATCGAAGGGAACTGGCAGCGGTTGCCGTTCCGCCCCTCACAGCTTGGCGGGCTCGATGGAACTCGGCCTGCCGCCCTCATTTCTTGTGGAGAGAGGTTTTGGGACCGGCTAGTACGCTGCTTTTGGAGAGCGCTTTATTATTATTATTAATACTAAATAGTGCTTTTCATGCACCACAGGAGAAGCAGTTGTCACCCAAAAAAGTGAAAAGCCATGCAATATCGCACATACTTACCAAGCTCGCGCGCTTTGCCAACCTGTGCTTTCTCACGGCACACGCAGCCCACAGCCGTGAAAATTCTAAAGGGAGAGATCCTGACCCCACAGCATTCCCCAGCTGTGAGGTGTTGCTACAGGCAGGCACTGCTTGGAGACAATCACTCACCAGAACAAACTCCTGCATCCCAAAACACAGTGTTACAATACCCCCAGGGCTGACTGGTCCTGGAGGCATCTGCACCTCGTAGGCCTGGCAAGAGATTGTCACTGAGACCTACAAAACCTCTGGTTCTTAAATATCCATCTGCTGCACAGGGCCCTGGGCACCTCCTGCACGAGTGGGTATGCACGAGGTGGGCCAGAAACACCCTTCATCCTCTTCCTAAAGCTGTGTGGGGCAAACCAGGTGTATAATGGTTCTTTTTTTTTCCCCCAAGAGCAAGTAAAAACGCAGGCAGTGTCTGTTCCTAGAGAGGAAGCAGTGAGGTTCCCACTTCCAAAGCGTCCCCTCTGCTGCTGACCGATGATGGATCGAGGTAGGGATAGAGGAGCAGCCCTTGGCAGCCCCATGAGGAGCACAGTCCCCACCCCAAGTACAAGGACAACCCTCTGCCTTCCTGATTTTTCCTCCTCTGAAACACTGATGCCCTGTGGTTCCACATGCACTTGAGAAGAGAGAACTGAGAGATGCGGGTTCAATCATACCCAGCCATCCCACTTGTTGGGTAGCTGCTCTAACCACTACCCACTTATATATTAAAAAAGGAAGCACCCCAAACATCTCACCACATCCTCTTGTGGCTGCATTTACAAAAACATGAACTCTGCACAGCTTTTAGGAGAAATGAGCATAATCACCAGCATTAAGGCTATGGGTTGGGAGTTACTGAGCTGACAAACCATGGAGCATCTTGCTGCAACAATGAGTAGGGCATTTCTGGAGTTGGCATTTGAAGATACTTGTCAGTGGTATTTGCTCGGTTCCTGAATGTTTATTGTAGGGCCTAATCATCAGTATTTATCCTTTATTAATTTTAGTGCACTTTTTGCCTTAGCGATCAAAACAAATCATCAGAACAGCACATGGCTTCTTATTTCATACACCTTCATCTCAATTTCAGAAGCAGGTTCATCTACTGAAAATTATTGCACAGCTCAAGAGAGGAAAATCTTCCCAAGATATGTTGTAGCACAATCTGTTCATTTTCCAGATACCCCCCTACACAAAAGTCTTAAGATTCCATTTATTTGCATAATAAAGCCTCATAGGTGCGGAGTTTAGATGTACATATATCTTCACATATGTATGTTTACAGACGTACATCTTCACGTCCCTTCTTTCGGGCGGGGAGGTGGCTCTGGAGCAGGGCTCGTGAGAAACCTTGGCTTGCAGCGCCCCCTGCACACGCACACCAGAACCTCAGTCCTTGGCACATCCCATAATACACCTCTGGAGGAATGACAAAAAGCAAACGAGAAACTAATATACATTACAAACGTACTCTCACTAGGATGAACTCATATCAGTGCATCTTTCACAGATTTATTTATTTATTTTTCCCGATCTTTTATTTTGCAGGCGGTCTTTGCTTGCTGCTTTCTCTCGGGGTGTTTTTTGTATAACTCACATTCACTGGGGTTTGCTTTTAGTATCCAGGGATGACAACACAGCAGGCTTACCCACATCAAAGCTGTGACAAAAGCTGTAATTAAAAAAAAAAAAAAAAAATGGAGAGAGAAAGAAGGAACAAAGCTCAACTTGCCTGGAACAGGATTTATGTCATCAGCATCATACAGTATGAAATGTCAAATGTTTAGTATTCATGTATGTTAAAGTCAAAGGAGCCTGAAATAAAAATATTGTTGTTTAAGTAAGTACCTTCTTGTGTGTTCCCATACTAACATGTGTGTTCTTAATTTGTAGGAAATAGATCCTAATGAAAGCATCAGCTGAGTCAAACTACTAAATTAGTAAGTACTGACAGTCCTGCTGTTAAATGTGTATATGTATACATAAACACCATATGTTTTGACACACAGTAGACACTCTTCTTGGAGTACATCAGTAAGCAAATATGCATCTCGCATAATATATATTTTTTAATCTTATTTGTATTACTGTCTTGTCTGACAGAGTTCGATATTCTGCAGTTTCTTGTACTCATTCATGAGAAAAAAAAAAAAAAAAAAAGGATGGAGATGCATCTATAAGAAAGGAGATACAGAGATACAGACTGGCACTCTGTCTCTGTAATATGATAAAGAGCATCTCTCTCACATGCCACCATTTTAATACACTCTCTGGGCTGTCACTGTGCATAAGCCATCAGGCACAGCCTCAATAGACTCCTGGCAGGATACTCCCCAGTCTGCAATATCTGAGTCCCATTCTGCAAGACCTGCTTTACATCTTTGCTTGCCTTCATTGTCTCAAAGGAAGGGTCCATTCCAACCTAGACCTGACAAACAAGACCAAATGCAAAGACACTGTTGCAGGTTCAGGTTTGCAGTATGAACCAAAGTACAATCATCACTGCATGTTCATGGCTCTCGAGTACATATACTTCCAGTGCCACTTTGCCACTTTCCCACTGCCCTAGTGGGATCTCCTGACAAACCAACTCCAAGCATCACTAGAACCACCTGCTGGTATTTGGATTCTGCTTGTTTTTTCTTGTTTGTTGGCTGGCTTTGTAGTGTTCCTGAAGTGCTAGCAGCAGTGGGCATCCCAATTCCAAAGATAGGACACACATACATACTCTTACCCAGATGATTTGCCAAAGTACTCAGAAAGATTCAGCAACAATCCTGTAATTTGCCTTGTTATTTATGCCTTTTTGCTAAGCTTTCTGCTGAACTGCAGAAAAATATTATACATACTTCCTACATACATATTATGCATTAATTATGCCTCTGATCAATAGCTTATCAGGGACAATTCTGCAGGATAACAGGTTCCTTTCTGTGCAATGCTGATGCTTCAAAAAAATTTCACCAAGCTGCAGTGGTAAAAAGTTACCAGATTATTAGGCAATATATTAAGCTCATGTGTATATTACTGAGCTCATTTGTTACTGCTCCAGTTCTGTGACAGTTCCATCTATTTCCTGGGAAAGCCTTTAATAAAAAAAGAATACGAGTCATGATTCTGTTCCAAAGGTTCACAGAGCTGAAATGATGGAAAGACTCTGAAGTAATGTGCAGAAGTTTGCGATTATTTGATGCTACCCTCCTCGAAATCTCATAGTGAATTTAGGCAGGCAGTTAAACATTTATCTGGACAGATAAGCAATACAAGGAAACTATACCTCGGAAGACACAGGGTTTAATATCACTACCAGGAAGTTAAAAATAATCAGTGCATGATCTGCCTGTAGGTTGTACGGAAGCTGTACCATGGAGGAACCTGGAGTCTTTAGGAAGACGAATCTCTTCAAAGGCAGTCAGTGAGACACACAATCTTTGAATCCAGCAAAATTTCTAGAGGGTAAATCCAGGAATTAGTTTTTTGAGTTGTGAAAACAAAGAGGCTTATTTCCTCAGTAAAGTTTCCTATCTCACAAACAGCTGCTGCCAATCCCAGAGAATTTAGGTCTATAAAGCAAAAGAAACATGATTACTAACATCAAGATGAAGGGCACTATAAATGAGCTTACAGCTTTTTACCAAACTGTTTTCCTTTAGTAAACTTCAGTGCTTTATAATCTCAAGAGTCTATAAACTTTAGAGATCTTCAATGGCAAAAACACAAAATCAAAATCACAGGCATCCATCAGGATTTGAGCTCAGCTACTACATTTTGTCTGGATTTGGTCTCATAGCACAACTCATTCAGAAACAAAGATGATCTTGACTGCACTGGCCTTGCAGGGGCTGAGTTTGTTTCCCATGTGTAGAGAAATTCCTGATGAAGAACAGAAGATATTTACCAAATACTGCTCAGTATCAGAGATTCTGAAGGGCAATATTCTCTTTGTGGCTACTGAAAACGATCTGTTTTTGTTGAAATTTTCTCTGAATGTTCCTTACATTTTCTTGAAGTGACAAGTCTTAAGGAACAACCACTACTCACAAGAATGAAGCTTTGAGTGCTTTTGACTCAATCTATTTATATTCTCTTTCAGAGAGGAG